CGGCCCCGTGCAGGGGCCCCGGCCGCCTCCGCATGTGAAGCTTCCAAGTGCCCCAGCACGGAGCTGTGAATGGGAGAGGGCCTTGGGTTAGCCTTGAGTTACATTTCAAAATAAAAATTAAAAAAAAGAACTGGATTAAATGGATTTAGCAGCCCTCCATTAAATGGATTTAGCTGTCCATATGAAAAAAAAAAAATCAAGCAAAGCCAAGTATTTTTCTAAATAAATTTAATTTACAAAATATTTTAAAAGTAGAATGCAACGCTCACAAATGTGATGAAAAAGTTTGCCTCATCTGTTTATCTTTCATGAGCTTTAAAACTGAAAGACACACAGAATACTGTTTCCATGCTGCTTAAAAAAAAAAAAAAAAAAAAAAAAGAGGGCTCAAGCACCCCTGCAAGAAATCCTGTGAGGCAGGCAATGTTAAGACAAAAGAATTTTACTTTTCCATAACAAACAAAATTACACATAGGACTGAGTACTTCTACATTTACAGTACACTTCCTAACTTTTCCTTACAGCAAAGAATTTCCCCTAAAAAGACGACTTTACCTAAAGACTTCCATCTAAAATATCAACCTATACAGATCACATTTAAAAGACATTATCTCATATACCAGTGACAAAATATTGAGTTTATTTCACCTTAATCTTTCATATAAAAGGACCAACATTTAAACATTATCGAAATGGTTATGGGGGATTAAAAAAAAATTGCCATCATTACTTTAATCCAAAACATTTCTTACGAACCATGAAAAAGACCCTTCCGGGCTCAAGCCAAGCAACTGCCCTGCACTATATTCTGCCAGTGTCGCTCTTCAACGCGTCCCGTGAAACAACCAAATCACTGTGAGATGATATTGTAGAAAAAGATCACACGTGACAGGAGTCACAAGGACCTACAGATAAACGCACTCTATTTCCCTTAAGCTCCAGCCACATGGAGAACATACAATCTGGATCAGTTATGCATGTATGCTCAAATTACAGGAAAATTTCACATCTTTTTTCTTGTTTTCAGGGGAAAAAAAACTGTTTATCCACAACAGCCTTCTCAGAATTCATTCGCAAATCTACATTCATGAATTTCTACACAGAAATTATTTTAAATTTAAAAACTTGAGGGTCATTTATTCCTAGCACTCGAAAACACATTTCATGTTCGATTAAGCACGTTACGAGGTGATTCCTTTGAAGCATTCTTCAGAGTTCCGGATGCTCTTTCACATTAGTTACGAGGGAAATAAACTTAGCTCTTCGATGATACCAAATAGATCTTTTGCCATTGTGTTCTGGCATGACCCATCTTTAAAAATAGCTACCCGAATTATAATCCAGACTAAAATAGCAGTATATTTTTAAGGAAATCACAGCCTTACAGAAGATATATCATCACCATTACAATTAATGATGTTCAGCATAAAAAGAACCCATGAGAGCCATACCTCTGTAGGAAAAGTGTCAGTGCTCAAAGAGGAAATTCCAATATAAATAAATAAACTGAACACAAAATTCACTTAAAGGCAGTAACCCAGTCAACAACCAGAAATTTGTTCAGCAAAAAAATACAGAATTCAATGTTTAAACAGCATGAGTGCAGTAAGTTCTCAGAACCATGTAGTAGTTTAGAATTTAGAGTTCCAACACAGACTCCACTTTTCTCCCCAAAGGTCAGCATGCGGAAAAGACCAACTTTCTGCAGTGTGCCACTGATCGCTCTTCAGCGATATTTTTGAGAGACCTGCTTCTTCCTTCTTTGGCGACAAACGGTCAACCGAGCCGATGACTGCCAGATAAAACATAGCCTTTATTGTAAAAGTGCCCTCCAGTTCAACAGGACATGCACTCTTGGATAAGTACATATACGTATTAAAATGGAGGTACCAGACACCTATGGAGTTTCAATCCATGCAGCTGTGAGGTGCAGATGTCTGCCCTTCAACTTTAGTCCTCTTAAGAGGAACTCTGTCCTCCATCAAGCAGAGATCAGCTACTTCCACTTACCAAACAAAGTACCAGTCCATGAAAATTTACTTTGCTCATTTATGAATTTTAAATAGATGTAAAGCCAGAAGAATTATAGCTCGTGATATTAAAAAAATAAAAACTATGTATCTAGCACATAAGCTTTCCTATTTTCTTCTACTGTCAACTGGCAATGATCCAGCCTGACCAGCAGGTAAAAACGCTAACTAGTAGGGTTATCTGCAAATAAAAGAACGCCAAAGAACTAGTAGGTCATTTTTTCCAGGAATGACTAGTAATTCCGGTCACCCAAACAGCAAAGGTGGCACTCGTTTTTCTGAAAAACGAGCCCTTTTATATTCTGTTTTTTGTTGGGAACCCAAAACCATGAAGCCCTTTGGAAGATATTGACCTTAATGTTTTCTGAAAAATCAACTGAACTAGAGAAAAAAACATTATTCAGAATATATATAAAAGGCACAATCATGACAGAATTTTTAAAAGGACATTATCAAGTAAATATGCTCCAAATTCCATTTTAGTATTTTCCTAGAGTGCCTTCTGAACAGATCGGAATTTAAAAGAAACAAATTAGTTACCGACTATTTTTAAGCCACTGTTTTGTCGAACTCCTACAATACTTTTTTCCTACCGTAGGACAGAAAAGACAAGAAATAACAACGAGTTAGGCTTTCTAGTCTGAGAACTGCACTGACACCATTTATGTCGGGTTATGTTTAAGGGTACCATTACAAAGGCTGCAAATCATGTGTCACATCCACATGCAGTAATATGAGTGATACGCACATGTTGACTTGAAAACTACACATAAACCAGCAGTTTTCAAGCCATGGAGTGTAAGGATGATAGAAATAGTTTTATTTTGAAAGGAGATGAAGGTGGAGTTAGAAAGCAGGAAGAGTAGTACTTGATAGTGTCCTTTCAGAAGGTGGCATTCTATGGCCTCATTATTGCTGTATATTTGCTATTATTCAGCTTCTTACCAGATATATTTACAGCATGTCAGTCTGAACATTCCCAGAGCACAGCTCTAAATTTTACTTTAGAGATACAAACATAGAACAGTTAAACATACATAGTCCTGTTTTACAAACTGAACTTTTAAAGTTTAGGACTTCTATTGTGCTTCTTTGGCCAAGTCCTATTTAAATATCGATAACACTTAAAATTCTATAATTCTGCCACTATTTAACAGCTAACAGAAATCTTTGGTGTGTTTAGGTTAAGAATCCATTAGAGTACAAGCTTCGAAATATGGACATTCAGGCAGCTCTGGCCCCTCTCCTGCAAACTGCTCAACACTGAAGTAGACAGGGATTAAAAGAATCTAACATCGAAATATTTGAATAGGATTTAAAATGATCCGTGCCATTTAGAGTTTATAGAACTGGGATGATAAACAAGCTTTTCACCACAGATCACTTGTGCTCAGGTCATTGGACAACTTTAACAGTTACAATAATACGCCCAGTTTCCCATTTTAAAGTTTAAGATAATAATTTAAGAATAGGGAAAACTGGGGAAAATTTTGCCTTGATATGCAATTCTTGTGAGTGTAATGAAGATTAAAAAATTACTTCAGATACTTTCTTTGGCATAATATTCACCAAATAAACATAGAATAATTATTTTTAAAATAGGCTTAAAATGGAAAGCTTGATAAGGTTAGATTATACTAGATTTCATGGTGAATTACACTAGACTTGCAGTTCAAAATGGTTCTTTTGAAAAAAACCCTTATGCCTAGTAAAGAAAAAGCTAAAAATAATTAAAGACATAAAATACTTTCAAGAGTTTGACTTTGTTTTATAAACACAGCACAAGAAAGCGAGGAAAAAAAAATTTCATTAGCAACTCACAAGAGATTTATAGTTACTGATTATTTCTTTTTTTAAACAGAAGTTGAGTACTGTACTGGAAATAATAGCCTTTAAATTTCTTCTCTAGCACAGATAACCTGACAACAGGCATGCTAATGCGGGACCCTGTTATAACTCCTGCTCTAACAAGGATAAACCATGCCAATCTTTTATGACTGTTCATAGATTAAAATGACCTTGCAAATACTCCTATTTCTTTCAAAGTTAGAGTGTGGGGCACACTTCAGAAAACAAACAGGATTGAAAAAGCAAGAAAAAACACATATTAAAACTATATAGGACTTAACTGTAGAAAATTAGACAATATCAATGTCTAGATCTTCCCACATAATTCAATATTAGAGATCAAGGAAGAATTAAGAGGCCAAATGTAGGCAGCCTAATTATACTCAGGGGGAATCACCAAACACCCTGTTTAGTGTCTTCATAAAATATCTGAATCACTTTTCAGAAGAATCTAGTTCCTGTGTCCATTGGCTAGGCTCCAGAGTCCAGCAGACTTTAAAACCCTTCAAAAATGCGTGAGGGTTCAAGTAAAATTATATTTTAATTTCTGTATCAAACATAATTCAAAGTTTGTGTTTTATATCCCTGCCTGCCCTTACAACTTTTAATTAATTTGATATAGTCCTTAATCTTTCAGAATGCTTTCAATTACATTTAAAACATTAACTTGAAGTAAGATGCAGAAAGGCAATGTTTTTTAAATTAATAGCCAGATATGTAATTACATTTTTCAGCCACTACCCTTAAAAGATATTTCAGAGCATAATTTTTAAAAGACCATCTATAAGATTTTTAAAAACTCTTAAAAATCACAAGAAATGCTTTCAGTATGCATCAAAATGTGCCTAAATGTTCGAATATTATGTAAACAAACCTGTTTTTCCAAAACTATGCAGAAGACTCATGAGCCCAAATAAAATATAAAATATAAACCTTAATTGCCATATCAGCCTTCTGTGGGCTAATGGCTTCGTAAATTAGGTGGAATGTTATGGTCTGATCATGAATGTTCATTGTTTGAAATATTCTGTACAGTAGGAGCTGTATCTAGTCCCAGTAAAGTTCCAAGATATGACTGGTCTCTAGGATCCAACATTTGCTCAGGCCTCACAGGATGAACAATATTTGCAGGTTGTGGAGTAAGAGTATATTTCTCTAGAAATGATAGATCTGTTGCTCGTTGATAATCTGTCTGCTCAGGTTGTGGAGGCAGAATGCCATGTGACTGAGGAGTATGCTGTACTAGGTCAGCTTGCGGATCAGACATCTGAACTGGTACCAGAGTCACAGGCACACATACTTCTGTAGATACATTCTGTAGCAAAGTTTTGGCTTCTGATTGATATGCTTTGGACTGTTCCACATACTGTTTAGCTTCAGTTTGGTAAACTTTGTCATCAGAGGTGTACTGCACTGGTAAAGAGACTAGCTTTTCCTCTGAAGAAGACGTCAATGCGTCTTCTGCAGCCTTTGATCCGTGAACATGATCAATATGATATTTCAGCTTGTCTTTTCGTTTAAATGTTGCATTGCAGTGTTGGCAATTAAAAGGTCGAGCATCTGAATGAATAACCATGTGTTTTGTTAATGTCTTCTTAATTCTAAAAGACTGATTACAGATTTGACATTTGTAGGGTTTCTCACCTATAAAGACACAGAAATAAGAATTAGTTACTCTGAGTAACACCGTGTCACACATAGATATGCAAATACATACATGGATTACGTCATAGAGATCTAGTATAAAACAATTTTACTGAAAACAAAGAGCGTATGTTTAGCATCAATTTTGGAATCAAGAGAGCCATTAGAGGTTTGTTTAGAAGTTACATTAACATACTCTTCTCCTTACATATAATTCTCTCAAAACTTGGGATTTCTGTCAGGTACACGCAAAGACAATCAGAACATAAACCAAATAAAAAACCCCCAGTCTTTAAACTGTTATGATACTTGTATTAAATGAGCTCAATTTGTACTTTTGTTCATTTCAAAAGGACAATGATTACCCTAAACATAAAGCAGGAAAACCAAATTTAACCATATAAGGACATAAACCTTTCCAAAGGGATTTCAAATCCTTGTTTAGGTTACCTCTTGAAATGAAGTATTCCCTGGACCACAAAAACGATTAGAAGGTCTGGGTAAATTTGGCAAGAACATATACCAGTAAATTAAAGGAAGAGGTGTGGAGAGCATATCACATATCTATGTTGAGGATTATGTCAATGTTTCAACTGATACATTCAGAGGCAGTATTCTGGAATGATCAACATAGGAGAAAGAATAAAAGGTCTTGCTGCTTCCTGCCACTCTTGCCCCGAACACTCAACAACCATAATGAATTGAAGAATTCCGTCAATGTTGATGCATAAAAATACATTCCTACATGTTTTGTGGTTTTGTTGGGGTTTATTTTTACCTGAATGCGTCCTAAAATGCATTTCCAAACTTGATTTCCCTTTAAAAACTTTCTTACAGACTTCACACTGGTGAAATGTTGCTTTGTATCTTTAAAGAAGAAACGACATTTCATGTTAGATACTTTTTTTCTTTAAATCAACTAACAATAGCTATGTGCACAGTCTTTTCTGAAATCTTTAACTGCAAAATAGCTGAATATCAGTTTCCAAATTTCCTCACTCATGTTCATATTTCCTGGCATCTGCATACCAAAACAGTCAATTAGATTCTTTTTGATATTCAATCTTATTCTCTGCTGGGATTGGCACTTAGTATTTGAATAGCAAAAGACATGAAAATTTATTTTCTGACCCCAAAAATATGCTTAAGTAACGGTTTTTGCCCGACATCCACAAAAGGCTTTCACTTTGGCAGAATTATGCCGTAAAGTACTAGGAATGGTTCAGGCTACTGGCTACCAAGAAAAACCACGGACAACAAGCAGACAATGTACTACACTTTCAACAGCACGTCTTTAATGGCTTCCACACAAAGCCAAAGAGTACCAACAGTTAAAACACATCATTGGAAAAACAAGCAGGTCTCAGTTTATTCGAAAATTTCTGAAAGGCATATTTTTGGAGCTCAAGAATTTAAAAACCCCATTGCATTTTCAATTCATAGACATAACTCAGGTTTCAAAGTTTTTACCTATTTTCAGAGCCACTAATCTGCTACCAGCTTCTAAAATATCTCAGTGTAGGATAGTTCTCACAGTGCTTAAATGATGTCTAATAATTCAGTCTTAACTAGTCTGCAATGACAATGTTACAGCAAACCATTAATTTAGAACAACATTGAGACAGCTAATTGACAGATTAAAATTTGATCCATTTTTATATTTTTATTTTATTTACTTAATTAAGCTACAAAGAAAACATGTAGCTTAAATGGTGAAGGCAATTTTCTGATATCCACTTCAAAACATAATAATCTCTCTCAGGTAACGGGCATGACAAACACACAGACTACTAGTAATCTGCACAAACAAGCAACTCCCAACAAATTCAGTTACAGCACAGAAGTATTTACACAGTTATAAAAAACTCACACTTACTTCTGCCAAACTTTTTCTCCTAGGTGAACGCTTTTATAATGAACAGTAAGGTGATCTCTGCGGCCAAAACATTTTCCACATTCCTCACACTGATGTGCTTTTTCACCTACAAGGGCAAAAATGAATAAATTTTGCTTAAATTTCTGGAACTTACTAAATGTCTAAGAGCTGTAATCATAAGATGCACAGTAGATCCATGTTCACAAAGTCCAGCCAGTCAAGCTCTTCCATATCTTACTCAGAGAAGGATTCTCTGTTATCAAAGAACAAAATTCAGGAAGCAGGTTGGTAGGTTGGTTCAATAGGAGTTAGGATTTTTACCACTTGTTAAATATGACTATTACTGACCATTTGTCATTTCTACAAAGAAATTCACGTTCATGAATTAAGGGACATTTCCCCAAACACCCACTGCATGACAAGTACAAGTGAACGACTATGAATCTACCTTCTTCGTTATGACCCAAAACGTGACACCTTCCAATAATTCAAGGGCTTTAAAAGAGAAGCTTAAACATACCGATTATTTTCAGCTACTAATTTTTAGAACTTAAAATTACATCACAGTATTTATCTTTTTAATTATCCTGATTTACATAGTTACCTTTTTCTTTTATGGTGATGTTTATAAGTATCTTGATTCTTTTTAGTCATCTTGAGATCTTCCACAAAGGGCAGAATATTTCTTCTCATGTAAGTAGGAGGAGTGTGGACAGTCAAAGAATGTAACTTTCTAGAGGGGGAAAAGCAAATAGAGTAGAAAAGAGGATTTTTTTTTTTGTACTTGAGTTTTCAAAAGATTTCTTTATTTTATAGCAGACATTATGATTTCAAACACCAAAAAAGAAGCTGTCCTTTGAAATAAAGGCTCAGGAAGTTTAGACTCTGATCACTTTCATATTTTTATGCTGCCTATAAAGTATTTTGCCTCCTAGAAGGCCACATTCCCTTTGGATCCTGTTCTGAAAAAGGAAAAGTCCCTAGTGAATCTTCGTTCTTCTTATACGTTTGATAACCTTTTTGCTCTCAGTGCAACAGAAAGGACGTTTTTCTTCCTCCTGACCATCCTCATCTGGCTGTTCTCAGCATTGACTCCCACCACCTTCCTTCCTTCCCTTTTGCCCAAAACAGAGACTTCGGAAACACTTCTTTGATATTCTTACATTAAAGTGATCAGTGTACAAACTTTGACAGAGACTGTGACAGCTTCTTCTGTGTTGTGGTAATAATGTTTCACACAATTGCTATTAAAAAAAAGAAATCTGAACTCATTAAAAAATCCTCCTTTTTAACTTTTGCTTTTATCTATTATTTTTAAAGCAATTCACTGTTACATGTTTTTGACTGTCCCTCAGCTTTCTATGCTATGGAGGAAACACTTGACTTTTAAACCTTGAAAACATGTAAGTTTAACCCTGCTTTAGTAGACCTTAAACATCGTGAGAGGAAATTTTATCAGGCCTAAAACATTGCATGTACTGAAAAAAAATAATCCATAATTAATTTTTTACTTGATCTTATTTCAAAATAGTAATTTCAAAGCCAATTTTCAAAGAAAATGCCTACCTGAGTGTATTTTTTTGTGTTTTGTCAGATGGTCATGCCGAATAAATGTTTTCCCACATTCTTCACATTCGTATCTCTTGTCATCATGGTGGACTCTTAGATGAAGCCTGCATATTCATAGTCATAAATATAATCATAAAAAGTAATTTTTTTAACATCATCTGTACTGCTAATTCAATGCAAAATACCAAAAAACACAGTCTTTAATGCTTCACACAAATATCACGAAATAACTTTCAGTTGAGGTATGCTTAAACTGCTCTTAGAAAACAAGAGAGAATAGAGCTAAACTCTCATACCTGGTGTTAATTTAGCAGGATATTTTAGTCCTCTGCATATTTGGTCTTTGAATAACACAGATGCAAAAGTTTTAGATGTGCAAGAAAGTCAACTTTGATACAAGATTTATATGGGATTCTGTCTACGTTTAAACCACTAACGTCTTGTATTAGAAATTAAATGACTTCTCACAGGTTATTAATATTATTTTCAATATTTAAGCATGTTTAAAGCATTTTCTAATGCTTTAGAGTTGGAATAAATCAAAACACATACACATTATGAAGCATTATGTTGACATCATGAATGCATATATATCACCAAATTAAGTGAAACGGTTTGGTAGCTTATTTAATAAAAATCTGTACCTGTAAGAGCTTCCGTGACGAAAACTCTGCCCACAAATACTGCAAAGATGAGGCTTCTCTCCACTGTGAATTCTCAGATGTTCTTTCAAAGTTGTTCTGTTTAACAAAGACAGTAACATTTAATTTTGAGCAATGTCACTGTTACTTTAAAGTGAAACAAACTATCAATTTCTCAATTTCTTTAACTGTGATGGATCACAATATATCCAAATAACTGCATCAATTTATTCAGATACACAGACATATATATACATTCAAAGGCAGTACAGCAACCTATCTACTATTTACTGAACCAGTTTTATCTAGAAACAATATAAGCAAAGAAATAAAACATTGTCCCAACATACATTTGGACAACCTACATTAAAGAAAACATCAATTCTGACATTATTTTCTATGTAACAATTTCTTTGTTACTGTATGTATAAAGTCAGAACTTCAAAGTCAGACTTGAAGAAAATCTAGATCATGTATGTTAATTTAACTTAACTCAGCATATAGGTTATTTAAATACATATATATTTATACATACGTACATACGTGTATATATGTAAGTCTATTTTTATTATTGCCTCTCCAATGTAAAAAAAAAAAAAAAATGCATGCAGGTGAAAATTTCTGTCAAGCAAAGGAATCAGACAATATAATTTACTGTATACACACCTGGTAAGTGTGTGAACTAAACAATAGAAAATTCTTTGATCTCCTTCCAGTATTACTTATAAATATTATTTTTCAAAGATATTTTTTTATGCTTTACACAAAAGTTTTATCTGTTCTACTGAGAGCAACAACACTTAAATATTCAACTGCCTTACATAACATAAACAAAACTTTAAGTGTGTGAACATATTGCCTTTTTTTTTTTTTAAACAGAAATTCTTTTTGTAGTTTAAAGTGAGTTTTATAGAACTGAAAGAGTATCTGTGCTTTATAGCTTGTTTGTTTACTATTTCGTTACTGCATTAGTACCTTTTCTTTTAACGCATGCATATCCCATTGAACAAATTACTAGAAAATGCACCAGCACCAAAATCCATTAGGGGCAAATCTTCCTCTTACAATACTTCCAGGGGTCTTTGTCAGTCATTGGGAAAAAAAAACCACAAACAAACAAGAAAACACTGCAGTACAAAGACCTTTTCATATTGCCCAAATAGAACATAACTAGAATCTTTGTCACAGTTATAGAGATGAAGCTGTATTCTACCAAAAAGAAAAAACAACTATAAGGCTTATTGTTTCAGAATCTAAACAAAAATCACCACTTGGAAAACTTAAAAGATCTCCTTTACAGAACAGTGCAAGACACCTGTACTGAAGCCATGTTAACAACTCCTTAAAATTCACAATTTTTTCCCCTCTTGTATAGAATAGAAACAGAGGGGAGGAGGCAGGAAGAGAAATCTTATTTCTACAGCTTTTCTATACACTTATTTTTATATACTAGAATTTATGAGTCAACTTTTAGAGCTTCTACTTTTCAAAGTTCTAAATTAATACTTTTTTCCTCCATTTAGAGCACAGCAGCAAAGGCTGTACAATATTATCCCATCTTCTGTGAAACCATGTTTGTAGGAGTCCAATTTCTTCTTAGTTACGCTGACCAGCGTTCCTCATCTTCCCATCCTCCTCAGTATATTTACCAAAGTAACTACGGCCCGAACAAATGCAAGATGTTCTTGCACAACATAGGAACCCTAAGTGAACTGAATTAGATGTTAAGACTTACAGTTCTGCCTCATAACTAACTACCTACAGTTGACATCCTTAATTTTAGAGGTCACCAAAAAACCACACGCTACCCGTGGCTCTGACACTACCTTTCAATACAGTAGCCCTCTGAAATGGTGTCATTTATGTTAAAATCTCAAAACTAAAACATATTCAGAATCAAACAAAGCACGTTAAATTTTCTCAGTTCTGTTGAAGTCCAAGTAGTCACGCAACTCCTTACCGTTCCCTAACGGATTTTCCACAGATGAAACAAGTCCATTTTCTCTTTCCTCCATGAGTACATTCTATATGGCGTTTCAGATTTCCTGTATCATTAAACTGGCGGCCACAAATATCACAAGGAAAAGGCCCTACAAGTAGACAGACGCACATAGTATTATTAACTGTCAGTTAAACCAAACGATGCACAGACTGGTTACTTGGGAAAACCCAGATCAATTTACAAAGCAAAAGCTTTGTCTAACAAATTAGTACAGTCAGCATACTTTAATTAGACTTTGTGTACTTTCTGCTCAGGTAACTTTTTTCTAATTTGGTTTTTTTTTGGCAAGTTTCATGGTTGTAAAGCAAAAATTTAGAATAAATAGTCAGAAGTAATTAAGCCCACTTAGACTGTTTGAAAAATCAAATTCCCATTACTATGACCAATCTAGTTCCTACCTGGCAGAAATAATTAGTAGGAATAAAAAAGTCTTTGGAATACTTCAGGAGGAAAGAAAAAGGTCTTTGGAAAACTTCAGGAAGAATCTGACTCCATAGTTGAGAACCAAGTTCATGCAAAAAAGTTTTAAAACAAAATTACCTTAATTCTTCTTCCCTCTCAAAATCTTGCTTCTATTTAGAATCATAAAATGGTTTGGGTTGGAAGGGACCTTAAAGATCATCTAGTCCAACCCCTGCTGCAGTGAGCAAGGACATCTTCAACCAGATGAGTTTGCTCAGAGCCCCATTCAACCTGACCTTGAATGCTTCCAAGAATGGGGAATCTACCATCTCTCTGGGCAACCTGTTCCTGTGTTTCACCACTCTCATTGCACCCCGGGATATGGTTGCATTCCAGACTGCGAGCACACATTGCCGGCTCATGTCCAATTTAGGTACAATACAATGCCTCAAAATCACAACTGAACAGAACAGTAAAAAAAATAACCAATAAAAAACCCCACCCAACCCCCTCATAAAACTGGAAAAGAGAGAACTGGAAAAGGAGATGGGGTAGAAATCATACTGATTGGGACATACAATGGTGGAGGAAGGTTTTACTTTAAATCTATTGTTTACATGTCGGAAGGAGGTTTCTATACCGAGATGGAATTTTTCTTGATGTTTCAGCCTTGCAAATCGGGATTTAAAGTGCTCTTCACAGTAGGTACACTTAAAGGGTTTATCCTGAGAGTGAAGGATCATATGCTCTTCTAAATGAGGTCTTCGAGTGAAAGATTTCTTACAAATCTAAAATGATAATACATTTTTTCAATAATACATCAGTTATAACCAGTCTTTTTTCCTGTTCAAAAACTCTAACAGTTTTGTTCATCTGCTCTCTGCAGCAACGTAAGATTAAACAGGTATTCTTCAAAAGCATACTCTATCCCAATTTCTAAAACCTTGCATTCAGTACCAAAATACCTGTGCTTTACACAAACCTACACCAATTAGGATGGTGATCCACGGCAGCCTAAATCAAACTACTGCCAACTCCTGCACACAGTTACGTGTTCCATCCCCGCTTCTTTCTACTGACTCCAGAGCTTACCAGACTCTCTTCCTAGAGTGTTTCAACACAGTAACTCAGCAGAAAATAAACCAATGGAAAAGAAGCAAACAGCTTTTGTTTGGTTTTGGATGCTGGAACAGCTCAGTTGGACTGTGGTGAATGCTGTTGTAGTATAAGCTACTGCTGAACTAGGGTCATACCTGTTCCTTTAATTCCTCTGGGAAATTATCTGACAGCATGTATTAAAGACAAAATGCCAATAGCAACAAAGAAATTTAACTCAAAATATATTTTAGAGATACAGAACTTTTGCAATGTTAAAATTACGTAAGCTTTTTAGTACTGTTTGCAGATTAATCAAAACCTAAATGTACAAGAATTATTAGTAAGCATGCAGTTCAATTACAGAATTGAAGCTACAGCTCAAATATAGGCATTTAAACTAGGTATTAAAATTCAACATCAAGGTCCTATGCCTTAACATAAATCAACGTGGAGCTCACTGATTTAACTGTGAAACTGTTGCCATTGTTTATAACAGCTGAATTCAGTATTACCTAACTCCCATACATTAAATTGTGCAATCCGTTTCTCAGAGCACACCTGAATAACACTCTTTTAGCCTCAGGAAATCAGTACCAACAGCTTTATTTGTTTAAAAACTCATTAATGTTAAATATAAGTGTACGAAAATCCCATACCTGTAGAAAGTGTAATAGCCTTCTTGTTTTTCTTTACTATTAATACTCTACTGTTTCTGTGAATTTGCTCATGTTCCTCAAGGATATGGTCACCAAATCTTGGTGTTCGCACATGGACTACAGCAGAAATCAACACCCTGAAGAAATCCTGCAGCTTACATCTGTGGCACCTCAGCCCATAGAACATACTAAACACCCTGAAACCAAAGTCACAGCTCCTAAGAATCACCTCCCTCGACCTTCTGGCCATGCTTCTTTTGACATACCCCAGGATATAGTTCACTTTGTGGGCTGCAAGCGCACATTGCAAGCTCATGTCCAGCTTTTCATCCACCAGTATTCCCAAGTCCCTCTCCTCAGGACTGCTCTCAATCCCTTCATCTCCCAGCGTGCATTGATACCAAGGTTTGCCCTGACCCAGGTGCAGGACCTTGCACTTGGCCTTGTTGAACCTCATGAGGTTCACACGGGCCCACTTTACCAAATTTTACTAAATCTACCAAATCATTCATCTAGTAAGAGTACTTTCCGAGAAATTAACATCAACTATGTTGCACAATTGGTTTCCACTATTAAAATGTTTCTGTCTAGTAACAAACAGGATCTGTAATATGTTCTCACAAAATAACTTCATTTGGAACATTACGTCCTTTGGTCAGGCACGTAATATCTCCAACCATGGTACCATCGCCAGCAGATGAACACTACAAATTCCTACAGTTCATATCTCCCAACCTCCGACTACATGCTTATAAGTGAAAGTTCATAAACAAAGCAAAATTAGTAATTATGTTAGAGCACCTAATATTACAGACATAAAGAGGCATAAAGCAGCTTGCATAAATAAAACAGCTGCCCGGGGCGGGGGGGGAGTAAACTAATTTCCTTATTAAAAAAAAAAAAAAGACCAAACCCCCACATTTGAAAATTTAAAACATTATTTGGTAGCAGACAGGTAGAGAATGAAAGTTCTATGGATTCCTTTTCACTGTAGATGTAGTTTAACGCATATAGCTCTCCTGGGAAAAATTAAGGAAAGGATTCTATGATTTCACAACTAGAGATAAATTTAGTACAAATTTACTACTCTGTTGATGCACGTATGCAGCTAAATGAAAGTGTTCCATATTTAACATATATTTTCCTCACTACTGAGGAAGCCTTCCAAAAAAGTATACTCTTCAGTGTTTGATGTGCATAACTAATGGAAAAGCAAATACTCGGGTTTTAATGTATTCATAACACTCAAGCCTAATAATCTGCAAATTGATGTATTTTAACAACGGTAATAGTTGATCACATGAAAAAATAGTGCCTTCCACTATTTTAGAATTCAGTCTGGTATTACCTACTCATTCACAAGCTGTACATACAGAATAAAGTTCAGTCTTTATATCAATACATAAACAGGAAATTCATACCATCACTTATAAAGCTGAGACGCCACAGAAACACATACCATATTTTCACTTAAGTATTCAAGTCACAAAACAAGCACAGAATTGATTTGAAGAAAACAAAAGTACTGAAGTATTACTTACATCACATTTCCAACCTTCGCTCTTTGTTTTCTTGATAGAAAGAAATTCTTGTACATTCTCTGGATGAAATCTAGAAGACAGACAGAAGCTGAAAGTACTTATAACTTTCTAAGATGAAGATCATCCTAATACTAAATATCCATTTCTAAACTTTGTGTGTCGTGAAAGTTGATCACCAAACCAGCACAACAGAATACTGACAACTGAACAATTCCAAAGGCACAGGTAACTGGAAAGCAGTGTTGACTATAGACTCCTGTAGCATCTCATATGACAATTGGCAAGACAGATGATAGTTTCAATTACAATGCTTTATGGATATTTACAATGAAAGAGGAAAAAAAGTAGTACGTAAATAATAATACTTTGTAATTAGACCTGTCATAAACAAATTATCCACTAAGAGAATCCGCATGGGAATGGTTTATCCATCTATTATCATCATCAACAGTATTGCATCAACATCTAATACCAAAGAAGATATTTCACTCTTCCACCAAATTAAAAGCAACACAGGTAATTATTAAGACTGTTGTGTTTTGACAGACTGTGCTAGCTAATCCGAGCATTGTAAAATTTCTAGTAAAAACCTGTGGTAGAACTCCCACAGAACCACTATTGGTATTCAGTCAGTTCCTACACACTTCTTGTGGCAGGTTAGTTGGTACTGCTAATCCTCGTGCCCTTTGAAAAGATACTTGTTTGAAAAAACAGTTATAGAAGTAACGCAGAATATGCTTCTTGCGTACATACATTCGTCTTTGCTTTTGAACTGAAAAAAGCAATTCTTCAGAATGTGAGACAAATTTGCTCATACTTGCCTCTTCACGTGCTTTGCTAAAGTCTTTTTGCTTGCATGCAGCTTATTGCAGTAGGGACATTTGTGTTCCTTTTTATGGAAGTCAGTATCGCTAGAGTGTTTCTTTCTGTGCACTGTCAGGTTGGACTTCGTTGAATAGCGCTGATGACATATATCACACTCAAAAGGCTTCTCACCCGTGTGTACACGTGTATGGCTCTCATATTTGCCTGTACAACAACAACAAAAAACATCTGTTTACATGAACTGTAGCGGGTATAACAGGTATAACCTACAATATACATATTTGGGGTTGTTCTATAATCTCTCTCTCAAATGTGGTCAAGGTCTAAGTACCTTCCATATACATCTGAAGATTTCTACTGGTTTATACCACTGAAAACTGCACAATGATCACATATGCATTTGAAAGGTTCCTCCATACAGTCCCATCTTAACTTTAAAAAGAGTAAAATAAAAGGGCTCTGTATTACTGTTAAATCTACTCAAGAGTTACAAGTCTCTCTTGTTCAACCCTGCAGCATGCTCTGTTCTTAAGTACTGAAAGTTATACTACTACTCAACTCTTTACACTGATTGTGAAGTACCTTTTCAGAACAGGGAGCAGCCTTGCAACAAACTGGTATTTTTAAGGTACATTCAAATAACAAAACACTGAATGAATGATACAGAACCTTGCCAATGATCTACATTTGGGACCTAAGATATGACCATAAACAAAAATACTACTCTCTCATTTCTTTCACACTGCTTGTGTTCCCTCTTCTGTTTGCCAGCTTTTTTTCCTGAGGATGGAATTCAATCCTTCACTGAGGATCTACCTACCTCAAACCAATAGCAGGCTCTCAGCTTTGTACTAATTTTTTTCTCTGTACATTATGCATCATACTTCCAGGAGTTAGAAAAAGAAACAAAAAAAGTACTATAGCTCATAAATCTAAAATACAAATCAATTGTCTACTATAATACAACCTTATAGAGAAATACTTTATGTATCACTTGTTTTAATGTTATTTCTCACAGTTTTTTGAGCACAAAACTAGAATTCTAAGTTATAAAGAGCACAAAGGGCTTCTAATGTGTGCAAAACCAAAACGTACCATTACAACCCTAAATACTCACAAGCCATTTATTTCTGCACAATAGTCTTTCAATATTAATAACCAAGCTCTCAAGTTCAGAAAGTTTCCTATATTACTTTAAGATATGGCATTAAAAGTACAGTTAAGTCCCATATTTTTAATGTTAAATAGCTTCTACGATATAATTTGTAACCTCAGAAAACTTGTTTCACCTCAGCAAACTAAACACACCATGTGAGAGTAGGAACTAATACACACACACCAGCCCCACCTCATTTTCATAAACTCCTAAAACTTCAAAATTATTAAAGACACAAAGCATCTATTATAAGAACACCAAAAAATGTCAAACGCTGTGAGGAATCATTTCTTTCTTAACTCTCATGACTGAAAGGAAGTTAATACATTACATGACCATAATTCAGCATTTATTCCAGCTGAGAGAACACAAAAGTTCTGGAGTACAGTAGTGATCTACTTGTAACGTGGGAAAGAACAGGAAAGCATTGGATGGGTCAGGACTGGAATTTTTACTCTTCTGATATCCTGAGTAACCACACACCTCGATTTGAGTGTAACATAAGCGATCCCAATAGAACAGATTAAGCTGACAAAGCATTACTTGGCGCTAACCACAGACCCAAAAAATCAAGCTACAAGTCAGAGTGACTAAGAGGTCCTAAGCATCTATGCATCATGTAGAACAGAAGGATTTCAGGCTGTTTGACAACGGTGCTGTTTTACTACAGCAATGACAACAGCTTTGTTAGTTAAAATTAATTTGGCAGAAAATATAGTACCGGTTTCAGGCTTCACACAATTTATTGTTTAATATCTTGCTATATTTCCCTCCTTTTTCAAGGCTGCTTTTACATAGCATGCTAACAACCAGAATCCAGAGCAGTGAAAGAGAAATAAACTTAGTATTTGCAGATTTTTCATATAATGCACTCAGTTCATTTACTGAAACTGCTTAACACCCCAGAAATGACAGCTTAATACACTTAGAAAAAACAGCAGCATACTAGATCAGTGAGACGATCCAGAAATTCTGATCTTCACTCTCTAGGACAGAGAAAAAGCTGCTTATTTCCCATACAAGTAGCACCACCATATGGTAAAAAGGAAGGAGATCAAACTTGCTCTTACCTATGCGATCAAATTTTTTGTCACACTTGGGACACTGCAGTAGTTTTTTGCTACTGCTTTGAATGATGACTGGAGCTAGGCCTTCAGGAATATTTCCTACTGAATCAACTGCCTCAGAACCCTCTTCAGTATCATTCTGTTCTTTTTCACTTTGTTCTTCAGACTCTGAATCTTCACCTGACATTTCCTCTTCCTGTCCCTCTTCATCAGCATTGCATTCACTTTCACTGTCTTCAAATTCCGTTCTATCAGATGTTTCCTTGTCAGAAGTGACTTTTTCCAAATTGCTGTCAGAGACACTTTCATTGTCACTGTTCTCAAATTTAGCTGGACATTTACGGTTTCTCATAGAACGCCTAGTGGAAAAGTCAGCCTTCTCGACCATTTTTAACCCATGTTTTCTTTCCAATGAAAAGGATCTGTGGGCTTTAGCCAAATGATTTTCTAAGGACTTCTTGTAACAGAAACTTCGACCACAAAAAGTGCACTGATGACTATTTAATAGTTTACCTGTCAGTTCATTGAGTGTTTCTACCGGTGTAGGTGCATCAGTTACCACATCAGTCTGTACACTAGAAACACTTTCATTATTCAGTAACTTCACTGCATCTATGATGTCTAAAAACTTTGCTGCTTCTAGCACTAATGGAATTTCATTTTTATATACAAAAAACTCAGAGGTGTAGAGAAACTCAAGCAAATGCTGAAAGACAGAATGGGTTACATGATCTAATGTGACGACATCGGTGCTCGGATTTTTGCTCAAACAAGCATGAAAATAACTACTCCCAACGGCCACTACAACTTTGTGAGCACTAAATTCTTTTCCTTCTACAATTATGAGTAAATCACAAAATGATGGATGCTTCTGTCTATCATCATTTAAGTATTTAAGTAGATTTTTGTTATACTGCAATGAGCTTAGGAGCTTTCTTTGTTCTGATGACGGTGAAAGTTCTTGGGAAGATTCAAGCTGATCTGCAGGAGCTATTTCTGCAGACTTCGAGACAATTTCTTGTGCGCAGTCTACTACAACAATCTGTTCTGAAGTATCTTTCTCATGGCCAAGATGAACTTTTTCATTTAGATTTGCAGCGAGCCGTCTCCTTTTCTTCATTGCAGAAGTGCAACTTTAAAATCAGGACCTTCATAGGTGATTGGCAAAAAAATTCTCCCGAAGACTTGGCTCCGCTCCAGACCTTGAGAAAACACGTAACAGTAATTTCATAATCTGCAAACGAATTATGATAAAAATCGCTCTTAGTACTTAACTGTAAATTCTTTTTTTTTTTTATTAATGCTTTCCGTATTTCACTCTTAGTTTTATCTACACTGCACACCTTGTTATTATTACGACACCGAAGCGCATTTGCTTTCCGTTTAACCCCCGCACAGCCAGTCAACCTT